TTTGAAGGATGATAATGGAAGCTTGATTTTTCAACCACTTTGTAAGATTGTATGGTTGAATAAAATTGTCGTGTCCATATTAGTTCGCAGTAAAAATAAAAAGGAAGGAGAAGAAAGAGATTTGTTTAATAAGAAATACATTTCTCTAATTGAAAACCCAAATGATCTTCGTGCTCTTAAGTTTGTTGAAGTTCAAGACAATGGAGTTCAATGTGATGTTCTTGAAGTTCATGATAAGAAGATTCAAGTTGATTCTCATGAAGATGAAAAAGTTTTTTGCTCGATTGGAGTTCAAACCGATGATATTATGTGTTCTTGTGATTCATTTGAAGGAATGATTCCTTATCTGAAGCCGGTGATCCAAAAAATTCACAAGTATCAAACTCCAAAAGAATTGATTCAAACTCACAAAGTTGAAGTTGTGGAAAGTGGGATTGTTCATGAAATCAAGTCTTCAAGATGCAAAAAGATGAGAAAGAAAAAGAAGAAGAAGATTAAACGCAAAAACAAGCGGGTTTACTCACAAAAATCGTCAAATGTTGTGAAGCCGAAATCCGTGAAACAAATTTGAGTTCCAAAGCAACAATCTCCAAATATTGCATTGAATTTGAATTCAAAACCCAAATGTGTTGGTGGTTCTTTTGAAGATGTTCTTGGATCGTTGAAGAACACGAAGAATGAGTTGTACATCACGCATAGTGGGTTGTACAATATTCAAATTGGAGATTTTCTCATTCCAACAAAAGAACCAAGATCTTCTAAATTTGATTGTTCGTTGAAAATGGATCTCGATTCGTCAAAAAGGTATCACAAATTCTCAAATGGATTCCAAAACGTCAATGATTTCGATTCGTATTTTTCGTTTTTTCATTTTTGATCGATTTACCTCATTGAATCAAATCCGTTTTTACCTTATTGCTGATCCAATTATTTTTTTTAGATCAAAATTCCAATCTCAAATTTAGTGTTTAATTTTCGAAGCCCATAATTCCAAATCAGCTCACTGTTCATATCCATAATTGAGCCCAATATTCATTTTGATCCATTTTCGAAATTGATTACTGTTCATGTAATTGAAGCCCAACCTAAAATCTTTTATTGTTCATTTGATACAATGGAAGCCCAAGTCGATGGTCAAAATACGAACACTGGAAATGAAGTTGAAGTCGAAAGATGATTCAAGAAGTCGTTGATCACGAATCGATGTTTGATTTTAACTAGTGTTAAAATCAAATCTCAAAATTGATTTGTACTCCTCATAGAACATCAAGAATCGACTGATTAATGATTGAATTCAAATTTTCTTTTCTTTTTCGTGATCGTATCTTTCTGATTCAATTCGAATCTAATCTGTTGATAATTGGAATTGATTTGAGGTTCTTTCTTAATGATTGGTTCGAGGGCTGAGTAAAACTGATTTCGATGGTACTAATTTGCGTCAAAACAAAAAGTCAAAGTTGTTGTTCTTGGTTCTACTTGTACGCACTCTTAACTAAGTTGTACCATTGGATTATCATCATGTGATTCTTGAGTTCGATGTTTGAATATCAAATTTTGGTTTTTGATCGATGATATTGGACGCCGATTAATAACGAAGACCTGATAATTCGTTTTTGAGTAATCGATTTGAGGATTGGACTGAGAACAGATGGTCGATGCGAAGTCAAGTAGCAATTGGAATCGATGGTTAGATTGACTTTCGAAAGTCAAAGGACGATCGATTGACGAATATACACAAGTTGAAATCGACTTCAACATCATTTAACAATTTTCGAATCCAAACCTAAAATCAAAATCGATTGTTGTACAGATAACCAAATTAAAATACGTCTTCATTCAGTTACTTATTTTCAATGAAATTACGAACGAAATTATTTACTTGTGTATATATTGGATGTTTGGTGTTTGCCTGGACAAAGACAGATAAAAGGATCGAACGAAGTCGATTTTGATTTCATTATGAATCGAAGGTGTACGCTTGTTATGTTCGCTATTGAGAATAACTGGGAATCGACTTTGATTTGGGACGAAATTGTATTTGAATCTATTTGGATAGAAGGATTTGGATGCCTAATTGATACTTGATGTCTTTTGCAAAGGTAATTTGAATTTTGAAAGCTTGGAGTATGGGTTTGATTTTTGTTCGATTGATGGTGGTTTGAATGGAAACGAAGTGTGCTTGTTGATTAAAAGTGAAGTGACGAGATTCCTTTTTTTTTGATGTTGAGGCTATGGATTCGCGCTTCGTTATCATGGATCAAACATGATTCGTTAACAAAGCCCTCCCACTAAAAGCGAATCGTGTTGAGACTTCGTTACTTGGTTAACGAAGTGAAGAAGAAGATAACCAAATGTTTCGAAATTAGTCCCTCAATTTTTAACTAAGTGGCAGAAAAGGTCCAACTTCGACATTGGTGTAACAAATTTTGAAGAATGGCAGTATTTCTCTTTTAGCCCCTGCAATTTCGAAAAGTTGACAGAAAATTCCCAACTACGAAATTGGGCTAAGAAATTGAAGATTTTACAAGATTAGTCCCTGCAGTTTGTGCGAATTTACACTTTATGCCCAGTTTCGCAAATGGGGTAGAGTTTCGCATATTAAGCTGTTTTTGGCGCAACGGCCCCTGCAGAATTCTGTTATCCACAGCTTTTACCCGGATTTTGAAAAATCTTGCAACTCTCACCCAAAAGTCGAAAACTTTCATAAATTGGAAATTTTTTCGAGGCTTTTTCGTGATTGTTTTTCCGTGCAAGTTTTTTGGGTGTTTCATTTTTGGTACACATCAAGGGGGAGTATTGTGAAGTTCATTCCTCGGGCGCTTCTCACCCTTAATGGGTTTTATAATCATTTTTTGATTACAAAAAGGGGGAGAATGATGGGTATTCGAAGCGAGTTTTTCGGGTATTCATTTGTGGATTTGAAGACCGGTGATACTTCGAGGGTGAGTTTGGTCTTGATCGCGCGAGCTCGTTGGATATTGAAGCCGGACATCCAATCCTAACTTTGAGGGGGAGAATGTTAGGGTGCAAAGTCACGCTTGGATATATTTGTGCTTTACCCACTTGTATTGTGTGATGAGTTGTCTTTTCTATAAATAGGAAGTGAGTGACACTCATTTATGTAATGAACACTTTGAGAGCATTAGTATAGAGAGAGAAATTGCAAGACCCATTTGTACTCTTTCTATCAATACTAATGAGAGCTAAACCTAGATTTATTTACTTCATGTGTTCTTGATTTTGTATGATGATTCACTAGATCTTTCTAATTCCACACATGCCATCATAATCAACACCATTACAAATATTAATCAAGCCCATACTTGATTCTGATACATGGAATGCATCTTTATGTGCATAGCTTCAAGCAATTTTTGCATTCAAAATCTAACATAAAACTATGGAAGTTGATGGGTTCATCGGAACCCATCATAAAAGCATTTTTCAACTAGAAATCCATATTTCTCAAGGGCTTGATGAATTGTACCAAATTTACGAACAATTTAAGTTTCTAAATAACTATTGTTCAAGTTCAACAATTTCTTGTTCCGAACTAGCGCCTACTTTTGCTTCATCAGTCTGTGGTTCTTTATCTACTTTAAGTTTCATGTGCCTCCTACACACTTTGTCCATTAGAAGCTTTCTTTCTCGCGGACATGCCATCTACTTTATGTTTATCTTTTATGATGTTGTTTTCAAAACAAGCACTTAGCTTCTGAATTTGACAATGATTTTGTGATAATATGGTTGATGATGTTATGGATAAAACCCCCTTTATATTGATCGTATACCGTAATTATCAAAAAGAGATATGGTTGGAATAGGGACGTTACACCAATGCATAACAAAACTGTAAAGCAAAAAGCCTTATCTATATCATTGTGAAGAATAATAGATATTATCATCTTAGAATTAGTTGTGAGTTTATTTTGGAGTAATCTCTAAGTGTGGGTTGTTCTAATAGTTAAATATCCTTTAAGTAATCATGAGTCTTAGTCGTAATCTCTATGCTATGTTGAATCACTATGGACAATGTACTAATACTACATGACATTTTAAATAACTACTTACTTCCAAGAGTATGACCGATTGTGGAGGTTTGAGTAAATTATTAATTGGTAAGTGGGTTCCAAATATGCAAAAGGAAAACATAGTGATAAAATAATTAAATGATTAATATCCATCATACATATCTCCACCTAACAATGCCTTTTTAGCATGTTTGACTATCACATGTGGTCAAACATGATGTGATGTACAAACAACAACTAGAAACCATATTCTTATATGAAAGGGTATATCGTGCTAGTAAGAGTTGGAATATTCGTGAGTACGTTAAACATGATTTTTTTGTAATTTAATAAAAAATTCAAAACTTCAAAAAAGGAAAAGAAAATAATTTTAAACAAAAAATTCTAATACTTACCGGCTGATTTTTAACATCCACTACGAAGGAGCAACAACGTCATTTTTTCAAACTACATTAAACAACCCATCATTTTCAAATGTTAGACCAATTTTTTAACCTAAGTAGAAGTACCATTCAGTAATTTACTTTTGGGTAAATTTATTGTTGACATTTAAATTTTCGTTCAATATGGTATTTAAAACTAAAACGTAAGTATATTTAACCAGTTTTCTACCATTTTGAATACAAATAAATGCTTTCTTAATATCTAGAATCATTTAATTAGAAAACCCTCCTTTTTACCATTATTTAAAGAAGAAAAACCATCTCCACATTCATCTATCCTATCCAACACATCTATAGATTTATCATTTTGTTTTCAGTTTTTTTCGAAAAATATGGCAAAGCTTAGAATGTTTATGCTAGCACTTGTGGCGCTTCTCATACTCTGCTTAGGTATTTTTACAATATATTTTTTGTCTTAAACATTTGTTATAGTCTATTAGATTCTATGTGTAATTTGTTTCATGTTGCCTATGACTAGTGATTCATATTTCTTATGTCATTGATGTATATGACATTAATGTATACACTCAATTTATTTTGTTTATTTTATTACACCTCTAATGTAAAAATATATCAACTTTGCTTTCAGATACAAACACGAAAGTTGTGCGAGGAGATGGTTGGGTCGATAGATGTTGTGAGCATGGTTATGTCGGGGTATGTAGACCTGGCACTGAAGACGATCAGAAATGTGCCGATGCTTGTAAAATGCATTGCACAACTCACGAAACATGAGGAAAATGTGTTGAAGCAAATGTTTGTCGTTGCATCGAATGTATTTCCTAATATAAAGTTTCAATAATAACACATTTTTATTATAAAAGGGAAAATAAGTTATAATTACAACGTTAAATATTTTTTGCTCTCATACAATTTCAAATAATTGTGAGGTAGCAAAACAAATTTTTGCTTCACCTTTTCTATGAAAATGTAGCAACTCCCTCTTAATTAATTTATTTATGAACTCAATCTTGTCTACAAATTTGAGTTACCTACTATCACATCACTTTAGATATCTTTTATTAATGTGATGGAATGATGAAGATATTAAATATAAAATGAATCATTAGTATAAAATTTATATATCATGTAAATTGTAAATATAAGTTGTTTTCAAATGAAATTTTGCCGAATTTGTCTAGTAAAATTGATTGTTCCAAGTATCTATCATTAGGATTTCTAATCATTTGTAACATAATCCCACATTTTCTTTTGCGAACCAATCCCATTAACTCCAATGTTGACTTTGACCTGTTCATCGTTACACGCAATCCAAGCCCTCTATTTTTTGCCCTAAACATGACTCCATGATGTTGATGTTATATCATGATTTGTCCTATTGGTTTAGATCTTTCCATATGGCTTCAATCAGTTTCATCGAGGTCCTTGGTTTTATTTTTTAATGGAACGCTTATAACAGCAGATACTTTATTCATTCTTCTACTCCAAGCGGAAGCGGGAGTCCTTGGTGATTTGACTGTCTTGGGACAAATAAACAATGACTTGTATTATTTTGATATTTGTTTTTGAAATTTATTACTTTCATAAAATAAATAATTTCCAATTAATCACAATAGTTATACATATTTATCAAGAGTAAGAATATTTTTGGTGTCACAAAATATTTCCAGTTGATCCATGAATAGAAGGATCATAGTATTGGTTTAATTAACTTCTTCATCCAATCATTAAATTACAATTTCCAATGAAATAGTGTATTCTTATTTTCTACTAGATAGTGGAACTATTCTTTGCTTGAAGTTCATTCCAACGAATCTAGCTTTATTAATAATGAATTCATAACCCGATTATAATTCATAATTATCTATTTCAATATTGAAATTAGCATCTCGTATAACAACTTACATGATGATCTCCTTCTAAACTAAGTAGTTCATAAAAATGATTTAGTTTCTCATAAGTACTTTTAGAATGTCCCTCATATTCATCCAATTACCTTCCCATGTATCTTATTGGGATCTTATTCTCATTTTAAAGCATTATTATACATTTATTCTTGTGCATATAATGACATATATGATTTATTCAATAGTTGAAGCAAACGGAATACCATTCATGTCATCTAGCTCAACTGTTGTTCTAGGCCTTTTGAGACGAGCTCAAAATGGTGTCATGTGGCATTAGTAAGAATCCACTCTAGGATTCATTCATCTTGATCTCTTTCAAGATCTTTTCAACATATGCATTAAGACTTAACATTATCAATCCCCTTGATATATCTCTATGGATCTTTAATCCAATAATATAGTGTTCCTTTCCTCAATATTTCATTTAGAAATACTTCCCTAGTCTATATGAATCATCTGCTATAGTCGAAATGTTATTTATCATGCTGAAGTATGTTACATACACACAAGATTAGGAATATCAATGTGCTTCCACTAGTTTTCTTGTAAACACAAATGACATCCTCATTTTTAATGAAATCACACTTTCTGATTAACTTATGAAAAAAAATATTCCTATTTCGAGATGCTTACTTTAAGTCCATAAATGGATCCATTAAGCTCATATATTTTGTTAAGATGTCATGGATTGAGAAAACTTTTATCTAAATAGTATGTGCACCTTTAAGAAGGTTTCCATGAAGGAAAGCAGTTATAATGTCCATCTACCATATCTCATAGTTATAATATGCAGGTATGGAAAATAAAATCTTAATTGATCTAATTATAGCAACTCGAGGAAAAAAATTGTTCATAGTCGCCACTGTGAGTGAAAACCTTTTTGATAAGTCATGCATTAAAATTATGTAAGTTTCTATCCATGTCAATTTTCACCTTGAAAAAGTACTAACACCTCATAGTCTCACAATAGGGAGGAAGATTAATCAAGCTCATACTTGATTCTTATACATGGACTGCATCTTTATGTGCATAGCTTCAAGCCATTTTTGGATTCAAAATCTAACATAACATTATGGTAGTTGATGGCTTCATCAGAACCCATCATAAAAACATTTTTCAACTAAGAAATCCATATTTCTCAAGGGCTTTATGAATTGTACCAAATATACGAAGAATTTAATTTCCTAAATAACTATTATTCAAGTTCAACAATTTCTTTTTCCGAATTAGCACCTACTTTTGCTACATCAGGCTGTGGTTCTTTATCTACTTTAAGTTTCATGTGGCTCCCACTCGCTTTAACCATTAGAAGCTTTCTTTCTCGCGGGCATTCCATCCACTTTATGTTTATTTTTAATGATGTTGTTTTCAAAACAAGAACTTAGCTTCTGCATTTGACAATGATTTTGTGATAATATGGTTGATGATGCTATGGATAAATTCCTTTTTTATTGATCATATACCGTATTTCTCAAAAAGAGATATCGTTGGAATAGGGACGTTACACCAATGCATCAAAAAACTGTAAATCAAAAAGTCTTATCTATATCAATGTGAAGAATAATAGATATTATCATCTTAGAATTAGTTGTGAGTTTATTTTGGAGTAATCTCTAAGTGCGGGTTGTTCTAATAGTTAAATATCCATTAAGTACTCATGAGTGTTAATCGTAATCTTTATGCTATGTTGAATAACTATGGACAATGTACTAATACTACATGACATTTTTAATTAACTACTTACTTCCGAGAGTACGACCGATTGTGGAGGTTTGAGTAAATTAATACTCGGTAAGTAGGTTCCAAATATGCAAAAGGAGAACATAGTGATAAACTAATTAAATGATTAATATCCATCATACATATATCCACCTAATAATGCCTTTTTACCATGTTTGGCTATCACACGTGGTCAAACGCGATGTGATGTACAAACACCAACTAGAAACCACATTCTTATATGAAAGGGTATATCGTGTCAGTAAGAGTAGGAATATTTATGATTATGTGAAACATGATTTTTTTGTAATTTAATAAAAAGTGCAAAATTACAAAAAAGAAAAAGAAAATAAGTTTAAACAGTAAATTCCTATTACGTACCAGCCAATTTTTAACATCCACCAAGAGGGAGCAACAACGTTATTTTTTCAAACTACATGGAAACAACTTATCATTTTCAAATGTAGACCAAAGTTTTTTTTAACCAAAGTAGAGGTACAATTGAGTAATTTACTTTTGGGTAAATTTATTGTTGACATTTAAATTTTCGAACAATATGGTATTTAAAACTAAAATGTAAGTATATTTAACTGGTTTTCTTCCATTTTGATTACAAATAAATGCTTTCTTAATATCTAGAATCATTTAATTAGAAAACCCCCTTTTTACCACTATTTAAACAAGAGAAGCGATCTCCACATTCATCCATCCTATCCAACGCATCTATAGATTTATTATTTTGTTTTCACTGTTTTTTCTTCGCAGATGGCAAAGCTTAGAATGTTTATGCTAGCACTTTTGGCGCTTCTCATACTTTGTTTAGGTTTTCTTACAATAAATTTTTTATCTTAAACATTTCTGATAGTCTATTAAATTCTATGTGTAATTTGTTTCATGTAACCTATGACTGGTGATTCATATTTCGTATGTATTTGTTGTGTGTGATACTAATATATACACTCAATTTTTTTTTGTTTATTTTATTACACCTCTAATGTAAAAACTTATCAACTTTTCTTTCAGATACAAACACGAAAGTTGTGCGAGGAGATGGTTGGGTCGATAGATGTTGTGAGCATGATTATGTCGGGGTGTGTAGACCGGGCACCGAAGACGACCAGAAATGTGCTGATGCTTGTAAAATGCATTGCACAACTCATGAAACATCAGGAAAATGTGTTGAAGCAAATGTTTGTCGTTGCATCGAATGTATTTACTAATATAAAGTTTCAATAATAACACGATTTTTTTTACAAAAGGGAAAACAAGTTATAATTACAATGTTAAATATTTCATGCTCTTATACAATTTCAAATAATTGTGAGGCAGTAAAACAAAAATATTGTTTCACCTTTTTCTACAAAAATGAAGCCTCTCTCTCTCAATTAATTTATTTATGAACTCAATCTTATCTACAAATTTGAGTTGCCTATTATCACTTCACTATAGATATCTTTTATTAATATGATGGAATATCAAGATATTAAATATAAAATGAAGCATTAATATAAAATTTATATATCATGTAAAATGTAAATATAAATTGTTTTCAAATTAAAATTAGCCGAATTTGACTAGTAAAATTGATTATTCCAATTATCTATCATCAGGATTTCCAATCATTTGCGACATAATCCTACAGTTTCTTTTGCAAACTAATCCTGTTAACTCCCATGTTGACTTTGACATGTTCATCGTTACACTCAATCCAGGCCCTCCATTTTTTGCCCCAAACACGATTCCATGATGGTGATGTAATGTCATGAATAGTTCTATTGATTTAGATCTTGCCATATCGCTTCAATCAGTTTCCTGAACGTCATTGGTTTTATTTTTTAATGGAACGCTGGTAACAACAGATACTTTATTGGTTCTTCTATTGGAAGTGGAAACGGGAGACCTTGGTGATTTGATGTCGTGGGACACATAAGCAATGACTTGTATTATTTTGATATTTGTTTTAGAAATTTATTACTTTCATAAAATAAATAATTTTCAATTAATCACAATAGCTATACATATTTATCAAGAGTAAGTACATTCTTGGTGTCTCAAAAGATTTCCAGTTGATCCTTGAATGGAAGGACTCATAGTAGTGTTTCAATTAACTTCTTCATCTAATTGTATTAAATTAAAGCTTCCAATGCAACAATGTATTCTTATTTTCTAGTAGATAATGGAACTATGCTTTGCTTGGAGTTCATCCCAAT